AGTAAAGTACGCCACCGGGTCTACGCTGATCCACTATGACAACGACATCAGCCCGGCGTTCCACTATTACGAATGTGTGGGCACTGGCTTAAACATTTCTCAGATCACTGGTAGCACTCACTCCAGACTTATTCAATGCTTGACTTCACGTGTCCCTTCCTTAGGATTTCACGACGATTTGGCTAAATATCAGCATCCAAGCAACACGTCTGGAGAACACGAGTCGCCTGGAAACAGGCCTTCTCCAGACACACCAGATGCTTCATCGCCGAGCGAAGGCCGTCTGTCGACAATCTATGAGGAAAATGAGGAACACAATATCGAAGCTATGATGCTGGAAGAGTGGTACGACGAGCTACGTATGGACCTTCATCCTACGACGATTACTGATGATTATCTTTATTGCGTCCCAACAACTATGCTGCCCGACCAATGTGTTTTGGTTTCAACATTTGCGGACGAAGATTATATTACATCATCAGATATGCTCGGAGACGAGCCGAAATCATGTGAGTCCTATGTAGTATCTCTGTGTTCGAACACAACCGACGAGAGCTACTCTCTAGACAGTGATGAATACGGTCCTTACGTTGAACTATGCTTTACATCAGAAATGTCAAAAATAGTGTTGGATCAGACTCAACTTGCACAGCTCGATACCGATATGGTCGCAACGATGAGAGTATATGTATCCTCTGCTGCTAAACGTGCTGCGGTTGTCAAAGAAGATGATCTACTGACCAAAGCCGACATAGCAGCACATCCAAAGGAGGTTAGTGAAGCCTTATATACTGAGCTCAAAATCTGGATTGATAACCGATGCTTTGAGATGTACGATTTATCCAAAGCTTCCAACATCATGACATCCAGATACGTATACAAGTGGAAGTTCGTAAAGATGGGTACCGAGAACGTTAAAACCATTCGTCTCAGACTGGTCCTTCGTGGATTTGTGGATACTGAGGCTTTCGACGTGGAAACATTCTCGGGAACCGCCCGAAGGCAGTCCCAACGACTCCTGGCGAGTGAAGCGGCATGTCATCCAGAGTGGATCTTAGCATCCATGGATATCGATAAGGCGTTCCCAAAAGGTTTGACCTATGAGGAACTTGCCCATGCCACTGGCGAGGAAACTCGCATGGTTTGCTTTACTCTTCCACCAGGAAGCGCTCAGGTACTTCGTACCTTACCCGGCTTCTCATCCTACGACGAAAGTCGACGCTGTCTTAGATGCCTCAAACCAGGAACGGGTACTAAGGACGCTCCAAGAGCGTTCTCTCTCAAACTTCGTACGACCACACGAGCTATAGGACTTGCACCGACCAGCTACGATCCTGAATTTGAATTCAGCCAAGACCTTCTGACGGCAAAACATGTCGATGATATTAACATGACAGGTCTAGAGAAAAATATAGACGACTATGTACAACGTGTCGAAAAGGTATTTGGCAAATGCAAGCTCAACAAGCACACATCTACGAACTGCGCCGTTCGCTACGCTAAGAATGATCAGGGTGATGTGATCATGGGCCAGGACGAGTATATTAAAAAAACTACGTCCTATCACACACCCAGAACTTACAGGAGCGGCGGCCGACGCCAAAGCCACGAAACTCATTACCGACATGTTCGTCAGCCTGCGAGGAGCCCTCGCCTATGCCCTTCTTACCCAAATCTGGCTTATGGTATACGTGGTCTCTCTTCAGAAAATTCAAGAGCCCACCAATTTGCAAGTCAGACGTTTGAATGCTGTGACGCGAAAGCTGATCAGCAGTCCGAAACGTATCACCTCCCCTCGGATGAAGCCGACGAATGAAGTTGACATCCATAGCGATTCGGGGTATCGGAAGCTTACCGGGGAGGAGGATGACGAGACCAAGGGCTACGGCATACGCGGGGCCAACGTACTACGGCGAGGAAACTCGCCCCAAGGCAAGTCCGTCGTTCACCTCTGTGACGGACTATGCAAATCACACCGATTACAGGTGAGGTCCAGTTATGCTGCGGAGGCACTTGCAGCCGCACATAACCTTGATGAGTGTTACCCTACGCTCATTACTCTCCACGAGCTTAAGGCAGGGGCTTTGACCCCACGACAACTACGAGACATGCGTGAAGTTGGAGGCCTTGCTATCAAAGTCTCTCTTACCATAGACGCCGAGTCCGTCTACAAATCTTTATCAAGCAGGGATCTCAAAATACCTACAGAACGGACTCTGCTTGGACATATCAGCTGGATGCGTGAGCTCATGGATATAGGTATAGTACATAATGTGCAATGGTGTGATACTAGGGATATGACCGCAGATGGGCATACAAAGGGAAGCATCGATCGGGAGCTGCTTCTGGAAGTGATGTCAGGCACTCAGTCATTTAAGTATGACGTGAAGCAATTTGTTCCCTTTCGGGGTCCCGAGGACAGAGACAAACCTAAGTCTAATCAATTTTAGTCTGTCCTTGTTGCCCTCGCGGTCCAGTTTGCCAGCACGGGCGCCTACTATAAAGGCGCCCCTTTAGCTGCTCGGAAACGAGCCTTATATTTCACGCCTGGCAACGAGCCGGCTTTGTACAACTCAGGCTCTTTGCCTTAATACACATTTGCTTGGTGAGGTATGGCCTAATTTTGGCTTACCTCTAACTGAGCCGATAGCCCTTCATTGTTTGAAGGGGCTGTCGTGTATTTGCGTGAAATACGTTGCGAGGAAACTCGCCTTACAGTCTGGTGTTTGGCCAGACTGTACGCACTGTTTTCTTTTCTTTGCAAACAGTCGTGCGCGCGATCTTTGCGTGCGACTATGCTCTCCGTCTCCTCCCCTCCCGACTTTAAGGGTAGCTCTTTGGGAGATGTTACAGCATCGGGAGCATAGCTCGCGCGCCGTTGCCTTTGGCCCAAGGCACGCGCGCCCTATTTGCCCGGACACCGCGAGTGTTCGCTATGTGCTGGAAAGATCATTACATCGATCTTTTCCTATCTTACTCATCCACCCCTCATACTGTACCTTCACAGCAGAGCGATGGATGCAATTTGCCAGGCTATATGCCATATTTGAGCTACCAGGCTCACTTTCGACTGGGGCGATATGAGTCCAGACTTGGAAATTGCGATGAGGCAGAGGCATATGTAAGTTGCCCATCCCAGGCGACATCGGTACATCCGCCATCCGGCCCCGGGAGGGTGGTGGATGAGACTTCCTTTCGAAAGAGGGGAACCGACGCGGTGCAAGCTGCGCGGGGCACTCTACCCATGCTCATGCGCAAACTGCCAACTCCATTGCTCGCGCAATCATCCAACTCATCCACCCGCATTTTGGTTCGCAAAAAATCCCATGAGGCGGCAATTGCGGCAAATGCTTGGCGCTAGCTGGTGCATCGTTGTGTCCGCGCTCCGCGCGCGCAGGCTCGCGCGCGGAGCGGCCAGCTATCCTACCGCCGCCGACGCGGCCGCAGTGACGCTGACCCCGGGGGGCTTTCCAGCGCGTCTCACAGGCCGCGCTACAGCATAGACACTTCGGAGCGAGTCGGTGACATGGGCGGGCGCGGTATCATGGCGACGTCGATAGCGGTAGACAAGGTGATGATTGCAACGATGCTTGTGACGACGGTGACGCTGACAACTGCAAGGCGAATGGCGGCGCCGATGATGACCACGCCGATGACGATGATGATGTCCACGCGTCGGTGATGAATGTTTCGGAAAATGCGCGGCATGCGCAGTATTATTTGACAGGGTTCGCGCCCTCCAGCAACAAAAGCGCGCGCGCAAGGGCGTTCGAATGTTTCCGTATTGCGCGCTCGAGATTCTCGTTTGGTAGTTTGTGATAAACATGTTGGAACGCATGTTCTCGGGCTGGATTCGTAAAAGGGTGCGCGCGCAAACAATATCGTTTAAGACAAAGTAGCGGCACCATGTGTTTCTTGTACGTTTTCGGGGCTTTCGACGTTCATCATTGCGACAAGGTGTTTGAATGATGTTGTCATGCGCGCGACGACGCGCGCGTGTGCAGTTCGCCCCGTTGTTTGCCTGTTTGATTGCGAAATGGGTGATATTTTGGTTGGCGAATGCGGGCGCATGGCATGTTTTGCAAAGGGGGGTCGATACCGTTGTGGCTGGAAATTTATGGTTTTTATTTCGAACGAGCGACGGCGCAAAATCCGATGTATTGTGCACATCCCAAGGGCGTGGGGATAATTTCGGGGGGCAGAAGGGGGGTATAGATCCCAATTCCCTATTTCAAAATATTTATGTGGTGTAGCTTACGCTGTACAGTCTAACCGGCGTCGAGGTGGCGACGGCGACCACGGAACCGCCAGACCGCCACCCAGGCCCAGACGACGGGCGGTGAAGGGGCGGCGACGGCGAGCAACGAGCCGCCAGACCGCCACCCAAGGCCAGACGACGGGCGGCGACGGCGAGCACAAGACTGCCAGACCGCCAGAACAAAAATGCGAAACCCTACTGCAAACACTGTTCGGGGAGTGTCGTGCCATGCTCATAAGAATGTCCAGAAGGTCGGTCCTTGCTCACAGCGTGGGGGGGGGGTCGAGGTTGTTGGGTCCTCAGCGGTCTTCCAGCCTCGCGGTGCCTTCCACCAGATACGCCTCGCCGAGAGCCTGCCTGGGTGACCCGGTCTTCCCGAACGGCCGCCGGAGAGCCGAGTTATGGCCCGAAACCAGAGCGCAACCATAGGGGGCGAGTTGAGGCAGCGGTAGTGGGCCTTCGGGAGGGCCCCTGGTCGTCACGGCTGGGCGCAGCTCGGGACACTGATGCATTCGGGCCTCGGGAGGGTTCGATTTTCAGGTGCCGCAGTCTCAATTCGCCCTGCTTTGATAATCATTGCACTTTCGGAGCTCGGGTCCGATCTCTTGGACCGGCGCTGGGGACCCCCTTGGCGCCGCCCCTGGCGCCGCCGCTGGCGCGATCCGCGCGCCAGATCCAGAAGATCATCCGCGCGGACCTCCGAACGTTTATGATGAACTGCGCAGTTTCCTTGCTCCCCGAGGCCAGCACCCTGTTCGTGGCACCGTCGCGGGCGAGCTCGCTGTGCTCCTCGAGGTCCAGGTCCCCGCGCCGCCGCGGGGCCGGCGAGGCGCTGTGCGCTGGGCCGCCGCCCGTGGAGGCCCAGTGAGGAACAGCGAGAGGGACCCTCCCGTGGCCCCGCCCCGCTCCCGAAGGACAGGAACCTCGCGGAAACGTAGGGCTCGAGTGCGCCGGAGCTCGGGGTCGCCCACGCTTTTCGAGGGGCCTGCCCTGAGTTGTGGCAGTCCAGTTCTGCGTGGGATGTCTGCAGCGGGAGCCCGCGTCAAATTTCAGGCTGGGTCGTGTCATTTTCACGATGGCCCTGTCGGGCCAACCCCAGTCCCCCGTCCCCCTCACCCGAATCTCACGCGTCCCCGAAAGAGGCGGCATGATCATAATCTCACGGAGCCCCGCGCGGCTTTCTGGGATCTTCGCTGAGCCCCCCTGGCGGCGCCGCCCCTGGAGCGCTCTGCGCGCCAGGGAGGGGGGTGTCCAGCGCCGACCCGATAAGTTCGCGCGGGCCTCAGAGAAATCATGTTAACGCAGTTTTCTGTCCTTCGAAGCACTCCACCCCTTTGGATCCCGCCGCTGTGCTGCCTCGGCATCGCCGAGCATCTCTCCAGGAGCACCGGCCAGTGCTGGGCGCTGGCTGCCTGGGCCGTCTAGGCCAAAGGCTTGCGCGGTGGCGGAGAGAGACCGGCGCTGCATCCAAGTCGACAATGCAGTTTCAAGATGGCCGAGACGCAACGTCATCGTCCATAAAAAAGCTACCTGTTTCGGCGGTGCTTGACCGTCTCTGCTGCGCCTACCCTGTTGTCATCCGGCCTCGGAGGACTTTGATTGTTGGTCCGCGATTCCACGAGGCTGCCGCTGAGCGCTGAGCAGTACGCTGCGCAAGGCTGCTGCATCTTTCGATTTGCGTCGTGCGACCTTGCATGTTGGTCTGGCACTGCAGCGCCCTGAGCAACTGCATCCGAGTGCTGGCCTTCGCAAGCAGGGCGGCGACGGCACTAGTATCTGCGACCAATTGCGAACCCTACCTTCTATCGCCCCTACGGGTTCACTCGTCGCTGGGGTATCGGACCTCCCGCCGGGGTTTCTTTGTCTGCAGACACCCTTCGAACTTTGAATCCCAGCCGATCCTCCTGAAATCTGACCTGCAGGGGGAGGGTTCACATGTGGTCGCCTATGGTACACATTGTAAATGAAGCGATCTGCAAGTGCACATGCAGGGAGGGGTAGGCATGCGGAGTAGGAGGGAGGTCGGAGGGTCAGAAGGGGGAGGATGCGGGCAGATCGCTGGCACTCGGGCTGCGCAGCAGTTTGAGGCCAGGACGATGTCCTCGTTTGAAGCGGCGCAGCACTTCGGTTCAACAGACGTTGGCTGCTCCCGATGCACCCCCCTTGTCTGCTCCTGCTGCTGCTCTTCTTTAATGCAGTAAAACACATCGAGCTGATTTCTCGGAGGTCCGCGCGGATTTCTTGGATCGGCGCTGGACCCCCCTCCCTTGTGCGCGGAGCGCGCCAGTGGCGGCGCCTGAGGCGCTGAATCGGCGCTGGGCCCTCCTGATGGCGCCTCCGGCGCCGCCCCTGGGGGGCTCCGCGCACCAGTGAGGGGGGTCCAGCGCCGAGCCAAGGAATCCGCGCGGATGCGAAAGCTTCTGCTCATGCAGCTTGCTGCTCCCCATCTGTCCTCGGCCTCCTCGGTCTTGCTCCTGCCCAGGGGCGCGCCTCTCGCGGATCTCCTGCCCTGCGGGCGGGGCGGACCGAGCCGGCCGGGAGTGCACAGCGCCCTCCGCTCCGCGCTGTCTGTGTCGATATGGAGCGCTCTCGTTCTCTGGGCCGCTCGGGCCGCGCGCCGGGCGCCCTGCGGCGCCACGGCCCTCGGCCTCGGCGATGGGCGCACTCGGGTGCGCGCACTTTTCCCCCATGCGGCTCGCCCTCCGGCGCTCACGCAGGTCCGTGCCGCGTCGACGCGGCGGCGCCCTCTGCGCGGGCGGTGGGGGTGGAGCGCCGCTGGTGGCCCAGACGCGGCCGTCATCGGAAGGATCTGCGCCCACGGGGAGGCCGCGAGCGCTCACGGGTGGAGCGAGCCACGCGGTGTCGGAGACCGAGGGCGAAGTCGCCGCGACATGAGCACGCCGCACTGCTGTCTCTCACGACCCGTGACGGGGAGGGGAGATGGAAAGAGGGAGAGAGAGAGAGAGAGAATGAGAGAGAGAGAGAGAGAAAAAAAAAAAAAAATGAGAGAATGAGAGAGGCAGAATGAGAGAGATAGAGAGAGAGACAGAGAGTCGGGAGAGGAGGCGCTGCCGATGCCGCTGACCGCCCCTCGGCGCCGCGGCTGGGCTCGCCTCGAAATCAGGGGCCATAACGCACCCGTGCAGGGCCCTGGGGGCAGAACGATCAGCATACCTTTGCGGAGGTCCGCGCGGATGTCTTAGATCTGCGCTGTACCCCCCCTTCCACCCTGGCACGCGGGAGCGCGCCGACGGAGGGTGCTGAGACGCCGCCAGGGGGCTCACGTTATTCGCGCGAACCTCCCACAGTTTGTGCTAATGCTGTCTGTTGTGTTTCTTTGTTGTTGTTTGCCTCTTCGTTTGAGACAGAAAGAGAGAGAGAGAGAGAGGGACGGAGAGGGACATAGGGAGGGAGGGAGAAGGTCGGTCGGACCAGGAACCAGGACGGTCGCTGTGCCTTCGCAGGTGGCGCACACCCCGTGTGTACGGTGTGGGAACTCTTGTTCAGTGAATCCGCCGCCCTCCCAAAAGAAGGGAGGCCAGGCCTTGAGCTTCCAGGCAGCCCGAAGCAACGAAACAAGGGGCGGCGGCCGCGCGAAGCGCGCAGAACGAACAATGCCCAGCTCAGGAACTGCAGTTGGGAGAGCAAGGAACATCGGCCAGCCAGCCAGGAGGAGGGGGGAGGGAGGACCAGGGGAGAAGTGCAGTCTTGGAGGCCGCAACTCGCATTTAGGCGGGTACGTCAGTAATGACCATCACTTGCGCGATCAACGGCCCTGACAGGTCCCTGAGCGATGCCACAAAACGTTGCATCTGGAAAGTGATATGACACAAACGTTGGTCCAAAGGAACGTCGGTTAACAATATACAGTCAGGTAAGTTCAACAGTGCTGAAGATTGCCAACCGCGAAGCTATGAATCACACAATTGCGATGGGTGTGGTCGGCCATCATGCTGGCCGTGGGGTCAGGCGACAGACACCCAAGATATGAAAGAGTAGGCACCGTTCAGAATGCGCCTGTAGAACAGTTGCTTGCTTGAAATGATCCAATGAAGGCCTCTGGTTTTCATTTTGATACATCGCGACAGGGTGGTCCCAGCAACATAAGACAGCATCGATAGCGGATGGGCTGGCACACTCAAGCAGGTATCGATAGCGGACGGGTTGGCACGTCCAAACAGGCATCGATAACGGATGGGCCGGCACGCCCGAACACTATCAAGATGTATTGCATAATTCGAGTACATACAAATTGTGAGGTTCGACCAGCCTAGAGGGCCACAGCATGATAGCGTGCCGCACGGACCGTTTGGAGCCGTGATGCTTTTTTCCTTGCGTGGGCCATGTCCCAGTTGGCTGCGATGTGGGCCAGCTGCTCGCTGGTGAAGGCCGGCGGTGAAGGTCCAGGCAGCGGGGAACATCAGCTCAGGGCATCCTCCACATCTTGCTCGGTAGGTGCAGCCAGGAGCGTCTCATCAACGGGCTCGTCGACCGCGGCAGGGCCAGGCGCCCGGAACCGGTGTTTCTGAGGGTCACAGCGGCACTTGCGAGAATGACCACCAGCATCGACGACGTATGGCGCCCACGAAGTCCCGTGTGGATCCCGACCCACATAGAAGGCCAACAACTCTGTTTGGGCGTCCCTGCTGTCCAGCAAATCTTTCGGGTACGTTTCAGTGTTGGGGTTCAAGAAGTCCATGATATTGAGTACGGTGTACCCTGCAAGGGCAGCGCGCAATAGGGGCGGGTACATCTTCCGGGCTGGTCTCGATGTCTGTTGTTCCTGCCGCGCGAACATTGACCTCGCCCAAGCGCGTCGTTGAGACAATCGGAAACATTGTACATTCTGAGGTCGAGTGAAAAAGAGTAGGGGCACGAGCGGCCGCACCGAATGCGCACTGATCAATATCAACAGTGTGCGTGATGGGCGCCAGCACGAGAGCCTGAAGTGGTGCGCGCGAGTATAAACTGGTGGTCCTAACATCCCGTTCGCATGGTTATACATGCTCCATCCATCCACTCGCGCCCACGTTAGCTTGCTGCGCCAGTAGGGTGACCATAGCTGTAAGCATCATCGTGCTTCCTATTATGAGCTGTCGCGCACGTCGTGCTGTAGCAATGTGGACTCCCCAAACATCGCTATTAGTTCGAATAGATGGCGGGCCAGCGCACTCAGCCCTCCGCGCCGAGGACCAGCTATCACCTGGAGGGCCGCCGCCGGTGAGGACAACGCGACGAGCAAGCACATGGCTAGACCAAACGGCCAGGGAATCAACACCCATCGCGACGTCATCGCTGAGTACCGCGATGACAAAATCCGTCGCATGATGCGCCCGTTCCAGCTGCGCCTGACAGTCTCCCTCGCGTCGGTCGGCGCCCGCAAAACAGGTGCTCAGTGCAGAACTCGGTTCTCTTGAATGTGACCGTCAGGTGGCCATGAAACCAGCAAAGACCGTGTCCTGCTGCAGGCTACGGGACAGAAGAGAAAAACATGGAAGACGATTCGCGTTAGAGCAGCGGTGCAGGCCATCAAGCCTTCGACCGCGCCTGGAAAAGTCAGGTATTGCCACTCACAGAGCACGCGAGTGTCGGCGAGCTCGCATGTGCTTGTCGTGCTCGCGGAATGCGCCGACGCACGACATCAACCCGCAGGATCTCGAGCAGGGGCGGCGTCGACCGAGCTGGCAGGCCGCGGAGCGCCTCCCCCTCGCGGCTCCGTTGAGAACAAGATCCCTTGCCTCATCGGAACAGCGGGGGACGACCACGAGGACGACGACGACGACGAGGATCATGACGACGACGACGATGACGGCGACGACGGCGACGACGGCGACGGCGACGACGGCGACGACGACGGGCAAGTCGAGAATGTTGACGGTGTGCTCGGGAGATGCGCGTGCGAAGGCCCTGAAATTTGTCGAAACGCCGCCGGCGCCATTGGCGCGCGTGCGACGGGGCAGGCGTGCCAGACAACGCACTTGAAGGCCGGGCGATATCGCCCGTGACGAGTCGGTATTGGCGACGAAGAAGTCTTGGAAGACTGCATTTTGAGCGGCAGCGACCCGTTCGATCTTGGACCGATGCTCTGCGTCAGCTCCCAGGCCCGCGCGGACAGAGCGCTTCGCCGAACTGGGGACTTCAGGACTAATCATTCCCGGTCACGGAGGCCTTGTGAAGGAGAGCAGGAAGGTCGTTCAGGTCGGGCACGTGCTGCTGCAGTCAACGTAGGTCGTCCAAGAGAAGGTGATCCCAATTAGTCGGCTGACGAAACTACAATCGTTTGGGGGGGATTTCTTTCGAAGCGAAGATGCGACCCGGAAGTGCGAAAACAGCAGGCGGCGTTTCTCGCAAGATGATTGCAAAGAGTTGGAGCCATTGGGCCCATCATAGAGGCCTTGGCTGCGGCCTGTGAACTTCCTTCAAGATGCTCGCATCCCTGATGCGCTGGCTGGGGCTCGTTAGCGAGCCCCTCGTCGCCGAACGATAAGGCTGCATGCGCGTGCTCTTCAACGGCCGAGGCGAGACTGGGGCGCGCGCCACCATTAAATAGCCAGACGGGTAACACGAGGCTGTCCGCGAAATGCATCTTCGCATGCAATTGGAAAGCGCGACTGCCGCCAATTTTTTTTCCCCAGCATCGCTTTGACGGTCTCCGCGGGCGAAGCTCGGCGATAAAGAACTTCGGGCCTCATGGAGTCTCTGTCATCGCGTGAACCTCCAAGATGCCGGCAACGCGGAGGTTCTCGCTGCGCGCCCCGCCGCGTCCAGCCGCAAATCAGCTCAGCGCTGCTCGGGAGGCCCGCGCCCGGCAAGCCCTCGTGAGCGCCCGGTGTACCATCACTCAGGCTTCGTGCACTGTCTTGCCAGAGGTCCAGACGTGAGGCGTGGAGGTTCTCGGCTTGCCGATGCCCTTACGCATGATGTGGCCCTGTTGATGCGTGCTGGGTCTTTCTCCCCGGCGTTGATGATTTGCGCTTGCTTCCACGTCGTGACGCGGGCTCTTCGGTCGAGAGTGCTTGGCACGCATATGCATTCCCAGCCTTCTTGCGTCTCTCGCTGGTCATGGGCGCGGATTGGGACTGCGAGAATGCGGTATGCAGTTTGCGCATTGCGTTGTTTTCTGAAGCGCGAGCACATGCTCAGCGCAACCCACAGGTGACTTATGCACTAAATTCACGGACGCCTGGTCGACTGGTCAGCGGTCGCACGCCGTCGGCTTCTTGCGTCAGTGCGGCGCTGGCTCTAAACAGAGACTTGCCCAGAATCCGTTGCCGATCCTTTTGAACGAAAGTGAGCATCTTCTTGTTACCAAAGAAGAGGCTGGAGAGGCATCAGCTAGGCAGACTGCAGATTGAGTTCGCAGCTGGGATTCCTTGCGTGGGTGCGGTCGCGTTGGCGCACGCATTTGATCTTAAGCCTTTCTGCTACAAGCTGGAACCAGCAGAATGGTTGGGCCCGTCCCTCCCTCCGGCTCTTCGAAGCCACTTGCAGCGCAGCTCATAAGTCAGCGTCTGGCATGGACAAGATCCCTGGAGAGATTCTGGCGCAGTTCACTGGTGGACTAGTTCGGCTTTACTGTCCACTTTATGCTCAGGAGTGCTCTCGTGCAAATCGAGCCAACGCAATGGAAGGGTGGTTTGTGTTATCTGGACTGGCTCAATGATTGCTTGCTGGGCCCTGCGATTCGCGACAACAGCCGATCGATCCTGGTCTCCTCGCCGATCGTTAAGGCTGCCCGCAGAAGCGTGCGTGCTAAACTTGTTTCAGTCGTGGCGCTGTTCGTTTGCCTCTTCCAGTTTGCTGATCTTGCTGGTTGCGGCGACGCTCTAGCCGCCCTCATTGTGCGCCGACCGCCGCATTTGGTGGCGTTCTCCAAGGTGTCCTTTGGGTCCCTCTTCGTTGATGCCTCGGCATACGATGGGGCCCTGAGAGAGCTGACCATGGACACTGAGATGTCCAACGAACCGACGAAAACATTGTACGCATAGTTAAGTCTGCCGCCCGAGTCAGCGCATCAGCTGGTCCAGCAGATGAAACAGCAGGAGCCGCTCCTTGAGACGGCAGGTGTTTTCAAGGCAGTGCAAGCACATGTGTTTGATCACTGGGCATCTTGGTTCACATGCGCGTCGGCCCACACGTTGGAATGTCCACAGTGATGTCTTTCTGTAGGCGCTCATGTTCGCTAATGTCCTCACGGAAATGGGCAACGCCATGAAGGAAATAGGGTTCAGTATAGCATTGC